GTGGCCTAGTTCGGATTTGGTTTATCATATAAGGCATGTTTTATGAGGGTTGGGCCATAACAAGGCTAAGGTATAATTACTTTATACCTCCATGGACCAAACATTATACGAATTGATTGGTTCCATGACAATAAAAATGTTCATACTAACGTCAATGTACCTGCTAAAAGTGTAAACTACCTGGAATTCGCGTAGTCCGTCAAACACTACTGAAAGCACGCTCCTTGTCAAGCTGCATTTTTTCCACGTTAAGAGTAACCGATATTGTAAATTGCAGTCTTTAATCTAATAAAGTTGTTACCTTGCCTTGCCCTCAGCATTGCCATAATTGTTGGTGCATCGAACTTTTCCAGAAAATGAAAATATAGATATAATAATAAAGCTTGGTTAGATCCAGGTATGATGTGAGTTATACTGAATGGCTTTTGTCGTATGAAAATTATTTCTAACAAGTTTAAATACATTCCGTATAAAAATTGAGCCTTGAAATATCAGTCGTCGTTAGGTCGGACGTTCACATGTAGATATTTTTTGTATGCCAATGATCTTTAGAAATCATGAATCATCAAAATGAAGATAATTAAACCTTAATAATTGACTCTTCACTAATTCCCCATAGATCAAACTTTGAATCAATGCAATATTTATTAATTAATGTAAACAAAATGAGGATGTGGCAACAACCATGTTAGAGGGATTCGCACTGTACATTCTAGTAAACCTTGCAAACAACTTTGTTAACTCCTGTCGTCAAGAAACTCATTATTTCTGAACAATAACAAATATGCTATTTTTATTGAGAAATACCATAATAAGCTACAGTAATAGCAATAATGACGATAATAATAAATATTTATTTAATGTGTTCTATCACATACAGTATTAACGTACTTCTGATGATAAAGAGGACGGCAATAAGTACTTTAAAAATAGATTGCAATCTATAATTAGAACAAAATTAACTACCACATTTAACTACAACTTTTACCATTAAATAAGCTCTGGATTCAAAAATGCTCTTTGAAATTGACTGTATTATTTTCTAAGTACTTCCTTTGTTGATTTTGATACCGTAATAATGATGATGGTGATGATGATGAAGATAATAATAATAATAATAATAATAATAATAATAATAATAATAATAATAATAATAATAATAATTAATAATAATAATAACGTTATTGATAATGATGATGATAACGATAATAATTATGATCATAGTAAGGATACTGACAATGATTATATGAATAATAATGCTTAATAATAATTATGCCTAATTAAAGAATATAAATAATAATAACAGTAATAATTATTTTATTTTTATTAATAATAATGATGATGACGAATGATAACGACGATGATATTGTTAATAGTCCTATAATGATAATAATAATAATAATTATTATTATTATTATTATTATTATTATTATTATTGTTATTATTATTATTATTATTATTATCATTATTATAACATTTATATACACCAAATTAATTAAACAACTATACCAACTAAACCTAAACAGGATGAAGACATATTTATTTGTACATCAGGTTTGCATTAGGATATCAACGTATTCATTCGTTGATCCTAACATTCCATGAAGGTTCTCCGTCACGTATGTTGGCTAGACTCTAATAATAGCCGTCTAACACTCAAATCAAATAGGCTTACAAGAGCCTAAAAGAGGCATAGAAGTAGAAGATGATGATGATGATGATGATCACCCAAAATGGTTAACGTACACCATGGAAAACATATCATGAATTACTCTATTAATTAGCTTCACTTAATTATATTCACTATTATTAGATGTATGTCTAGTCTTTTATCGAATATTATGCTGTTTTGATAGTGCTATAGTAGAAATAAATATTGTTATTATTGTAAATAATGTCAGACGTATCAATGCTAGAATCAAAATACAATTTCCCATGCTAGCGCATCCTTTGGCTTATTCACTACCGTACTCACCATTGGTTGGATGTTGAATAATGATCAATGGTTGGTTGCTAAGAAACCGGGTTTCGTCTGTTGGGGAGGTAACGACGATTTTGTTGTCATTTCAGAAGTTGCTAGTATGGAATACACCTTCTGTTTTTCATCCAATACATATAAATGTTGTATATTCTGATATAGAAGTGTTAGAAGTATGTAGCTGCGTTAAAGCACACGTGTATTTATTAAGCATAGTTATTTTGTTGATTTCTACAGGCCGAAACAATGGCAAGCAACCAGACTCAAATACCGCTGTTGGAGACAACACAACCCGTCACGGTAACCAATGTATCTAGTGGTGAGTTTTCCCCCAAATAATTTGTTTTACTTGAAACAATATTTTCGTTCTACTATCGGGGTCAAAACAATAATAGGTTTTGGATATAATAATTTTCTCGTGAATAGGCCTATAAATGGAATGATTGAACTCGCATACACACACGGTAACATATTAATAAAAACCTGTTTAAAAACACCATTAAATTTTTAATGGTTTATAAACATATTCAGCTTCTTATTGGCATTTAAAAGCAAACATAATTATTGTTCATTATAGGCCTAGAAAATTTGAAAGAAAATTCACCTGTTCCAATACAATGCATTTTTTGTTAGTTCAAGTCAATGTTCAATTACTAAATTATGACAATTTTCTGATGTAACACGTACGAAGTGCTTTGATATTTTTTATGTCAATGATAGTTTTTAGCTCCAATGATATTTGCAAAATAACTATATAAACATTTAGAAAAAAAATTATTCTGATACAAAAATATTACTCTAGAATCCTATGGAGGGATAAGGAGATAGAATTATTATTTTTCTCAGCACATTTCCCCAGTGGGCGTCTGACTTGTCTGGATCGCTTTTAGTGCCCTTGTCAATCCTATGGCCGAGGGTGCCCTGCGCACATTGTGCCCACGTAGTACTGATCCGTGATCCCCAGTGACTTGCAATTGAAACACATTGTACTAAACATACTTTTATTTATTTATTTTTTATTTTGGTCATTTGTGTGTTGTCTGGTAACGAATGTGTTCAGTGAGTTTATACCGGTACTGATTGGTGAACTGCGCAGATGAGGATTCCGGCCGGGAGACGAGACTGTCAAGAAGATTGCCTGTCCCTGGCGGAGGAAAGCTCTTCCTGATGATGAGCTCCTGACTAACCTCCTGATACCACGTTGACGCTACCCATCATACAATGCGTGTAAATGTATATTATTGAATTGGAATTACTAGTAGGCCTATGTGAAGTATGTGTGATTTAATCTTCACTAGAACACACAGACAAATCAAATCCGACTCTATCGGATACTAGGCCTATTATTTTAAAGAAACAAGGGCCGTAAGTGCGGCGAAAGATTTTCTCGGTTAACCGCAATTTTAAATGTAAGTACGTGATTGAACTTGTAGTTGTAAAGCAAGGCAATCTATAGACTAATGGACTAGTTTTTCGGACACAATGAATTTATTTTAGATTGGAACACAATTGAACAAGTGCCAACGGTAGATTAAAATGTTGATTAATTACATTGAGATGCTAATGATTGTGTCCATAGAGAGTAACCAGTTACATTCTTATAATAAGGCTGAACTAATTGAGAAACCAATTACATTTAAATTGGAAGTGTCTATAGAGAGAATCAAATTACATATTTTATGTTGGGAGTATAATAGAGAGAAATCCGTAATGTGCATATAATAAGGCTGAAGTATTTTGAGAGAAACTGATTACATTTAGGCTATATTCGAAGTGTCTATAGAGAGGAACCAAATATTACTTTTTCGAGAATTAGGACCTTCATCATTCGCTTAAAATCGAGTGCACTACAACACCATAATCTTTACTGTTGAGCGTATAGGCCTATAGCGAGATAGCAAAATATGATTCCTGTTTTTATTTCCCTTACTTCCACATAGTTACGAATATAAAATTGAAATATCATTCTTCACACATGAAATGATTGTTGCCACAGGCACTGTAAAATGGTAACTATTAAATTTTGAAAGATAGCGTAAAAGTAGACACTAGCAGCTCTAAAATAATGGCATGTATATTTAAAACATGAGACAACTATTTAGTTGTCGCATTCAAAACCGAAACGCCAGCCGTGCTACTTTTAACGTGATGTTCTTCATGTATCATGTTGGCCAAATACTCAGCGTATGTAGCGTGTTTTGCTTAAAAGCTGTTTCCATCTCTCTGGTTTTACCTCTATTTCAGGTCTCAAGTGCTGCACAATATGACGTCAGAATGTGTTTGACACATTGTAACACAGATCTATTAGCGTAATACATCTATAATACAAATTTCGATCACAATGGACTATATTTAGGCATATATAGTATATATAATTAGACAGAACGGAAAACAACGGGCAATTAGCACACGCATCACATTGAATTTTACATGCTTCCTATATATCGCATGACATAGCGGATCGATAGCGGATCGACAAATTTGTATTGTTTAGACCTACATATTGATTGCATTTCGAATCGATGTTTGTGTTATTGAATCTCTAATAAGTTGGCTCGATCATGGCTCGATGGTATGATAGGCAGAAAAACAACATGCGATGCTTGACAAACAAATACTTATAATTATTTTAATAATTATTGAATATGCACAAAATACAAAATAGAGTACATACTTTGTGCATGTGTACTACTGTATAAATAATAATCTTAAATTGTATTCAATATAATAATAATAAATTATTATTATTATTATTATTATTATTATTATTATTATTATTATTATTATTATTATTATTATTATTATTATTATTATGTTAGTATTAGCCGTATTATATTTGTATTTGCTCATATTGTATACTGTCACATAAATTGCTCATATTGTATGTTGCAACATACAATAATCACTGCCACATACAGTGCTAACATAGCCGTCGGAAGCATTTTTCAAGTGGTCCGACCATTATAATAAAATGGGGTTGTTAAAGTGGCCCTCTACCCATATTTACGGATACAGGATTTTAAAATTAGTGGGGTTTTATCCACCCTAGCTCAACCACGGTTGGTGAACAACTGTTTTAGCACCTCTGAATGTCCGGAAATAGATGCTGACAACCTGTAGAGCCGCTACCCCTCCCCTCAGGGGGCAGTCACAAAATTAGAAATTGGAGATAGAACCTGAGTGGTGAGAGAAAGGGAATTCTTCTCCCACCCCAGCCACTCTCGGACAGTCCTGAAACCCCCTCCCGTCGTCCGAAATAGAAACATGCATATGAATATTTTGTAAGAAAATTAACTTACGACTAGCGGTTAAGATACGGATGCCATATATAATATTTTCCCAACTAATTTGTGTAATTAAGCTAACTTGCATGTTATATGGGGCACGTGACGGAGGTATGATTTCTGGAATTCACTTTCGTCAAGTTCTCAAAACGTTAAAACGTTTTTAAACACATTTGTTTGTTATTTCTTCCGTAACTATGCTAACTACATGTACCATTACATTATATCATGTTTTCCAGCATTTAACTTATATAACCTTTGACCTGGAATAACCTGTCACATCAGGTAAGCTTCTCCATCACATTTAAATAATAAACCATTTTTGCAACATACATAATGAGCATAATGATTTAGGCCTACTATCAAAATCAATATTGGGCCTCAAATGACCTCTAATCCTCCCTAGACGTCTAAAAATGTACTCTTCATTTCCATCAAATAAAATGGACCCATCAAAATTTTTTCGCGACCCAAACATTGGGTCGCGATTCATAGGTTGACCTGGAACGGAGCATTCGCTCGAATAAGTTCAAAATGTCAAATTAGTCGCCATACTTTTTTGCAATATTCATAGTTAAGGAAAAAATGACAAACAAATGTGTTTAAAAACGTTTTGACAACTTGACAAAAGTGAACTGCAGAATTATACCTCCGTCACTTGCCCGATATAATATGCAAGTTTGCTTAATTACACAAATTAGTCGGAAAAATATATAGGGCATCCGTATCTTGATAACCGAGTCGATTTTCTTTCAAAATATTCATTAGGCCTATATGCATGTTTCTATTTCTTCTAATCAGACATATTTTTCAAAAATAACATAACCTTTGACAAATATATACTCCTTCTTGAACCTTTGACTTTTAACCCCTCCCAGAAAATGACTCTTCCATTGTTTTTGCTATTCGCACGCCTTATAAATCAAACGCTCAAAATGTCATGCTTCTGTCACAAAATGCGCGGTTTGGCCATTTTTGGGTCTTATCTCCTACATTCGAAGTTCAAATTATTACATTGTGGGCGAAGATGTCATGTTTTTTGTTGTTACATTTGTGGGCGTTATTACTTTATGGGCTGTTTGTTACATTTGTGGGCGCTGGTTGTTATATTTGTGGGCATTATTTACAATTGATTTGTGGGCGGTTTTTGTTACATTTGTGGGCGTTATTACATTTGTGGGCGTTTTCACATTTGTGGGTGCAACAACCCCTCCCCCACCCATCGTCGGACATGTCGGACTCCTTGTCGCTAAATTGCTGGAGCCACCGCTGCCAATACACACCTCAGCCACCATGGTTTTACTGATATCTGGAAATTCTGGCAAAATATGACACCTTGATTCCCAGAAACAGCAGCTGCCAACATAGCCTCTCCCTCTCCGTCCTGATGTACACTGGAAGACACAATATTTTGAAGTTTTATGTAGTTGAACACAAAGATTTATGTAGTTGAAAATATTAATCTGGTTTGTTGATTATAGAAAATTTCTCACAAAGAGTTAACAAAATTACTCTTTTAATGAAGTGATCCATAGTAAAACCATACCCGCTGAACATTATCCCTATATGTCTGAGCCTAGATTTCGGGCCAGAAAAATGTTATTTAAGAATAAATTTACAAATTATTACTATTTTACTGATGTAATCCATAGTACCCTGTCGGATACCATTCTGGTATGTCTAGGTTTCGGGGCCGAAATATTGATACAGATACAAATATAGCTACTTTATTGTCGTAAAAAATACGTAGTAGGCCTACATGCTGTATATATCGTCTTTTCACTAATTTAAACTTTTTTGGCCTGAATATAGGATTATATACCGGTGTGGTAGTAATAGTGTAGGCTTAAAACAATGATCAGAGCATGATATTGTGCTTTATGTTATTAGCAAAATGTTCATCGCAGACCGAAGAGGTACCACCAGAGATGTTTAAGGGACTCTCCCATAGGAAGATTTTTTGAGGAGTAAGACCCTATTCTTATCAGTATCACTCAAGAAAACATAAGGCCTATAATCACAAAAGAAGATAAAGGCTAAAGATTGTGCACAGAATTGCACCCAGGTTAAATAAGTTGTATCTGGACACCGAAAGTATGACTCAAAATAATGTTTTGAATCATGTAAAAAAGACAAATGTGGGTCTATTGCAAAAATGATAAATTGTTTAACATTTAATTTCTTGTGAGTGCCATAATTAGATGATTTGAGTTGCTTATTTCACCATGAATAAATAAAGTGCAAAAAACTCGAATACAGTGCAATGAATAACAGTGATTATATTTACACAATGTGCAGGGTATTGAGAAATGGTATTAACAATATACAATTAAATAGAACATGTGTTATGAACAGAATGCAATATGCTATGCATTATATTTGAAAATAGGCCTACAAATTAATAAATACCATAGAGTTTCGAATAGCATACTCCTAATACAATTTTAATTTCACTTACTTTCCAAATTCGGCATGAAGCTTTAATAAATTATTCTTCACGCTCTAGATGATTTGTGATTTGTACCGTACTACTATAAATAACTTGAATTGTTAAGTAAATGTGTTTTTAATTTTCTGCTGTGTGTGCTTTTCTGCTAGGCCTTATACCGATATTACACTTTGATATTAGTAAATTCTTGGTTTATTTATGGCAAACAGACCATGTAGGTATACCTCCATGGACAGAGCTACCAGATGGCGGCATAGGCTTACCCAATAGAGAACTAAGATTCAAGCGCGATTCAGTTGTTTGGTGAAAGGATGGAGGGGCACAATGTTAGAATGTGGTTAGTTTTACAGGGGTCCAGAAGTCTCACCGCAGGGCCTTTGTTTACCAGGGTGCCAAGAAAAAAAAGGAATTATTATAAGGATGATGAGAGAGTATCCAAAGAGCAGCGATCCTCCGATTAAGGTCCAGGGACTAAAAAGCCCCGTACAAAAATTCAGTTTTTCTGGTTGTAGCATAATATGATCAATGGCACCCATTTCTGCACACATGCAACTTTACTGCACGCAAGTCAGGGGATGTTTGGCCAACATATAGCTCAGAGGAAAATACAACAGAGGAGAAGAACAAGAAGAAGATGGCATGTTTGGAATTGATATTTAATCTAACTATGTTTTCTTTGCATCGCACTGGATTCTTTATTTTCTTGGGTCTCTACCCCTTACCAACCGTATACCCACATACATACCCCTCGCCAAGGTCGTCGGACTAAAAATATTAATTTAAATCTAATTAATGTTATTGTGATTGCTAATGCCTAATATTTTGTCTAAAAGTATAAATTTGGGCAATTTTAAAACATAAAATCACTCCATGAACTACTCCTATACTACTACTGTACTACTATAGTTAAAGAACATTGCCTCGAATCCGATACGATGGTGTGCATTTCGATACTTGGAGTATGTATTATACTATCTTAACATTGCCTCTATGCCGAAAAAAACAACTGGTAAATCCACTACCTCTTCCCCCAAGGGGCAGAAACAGCATCTAAAGTTAGTCGGAATATTGAATCCATACCTACCTCAGCCCCAGCATGGTGGGGCTGATTTGAACAAAGATGGCATCCCTAGATGTCCATAAATAGCAGATGAAAAACTGCCAAGCAGCTTACCCTATTGCAACCCATACGAGGGCAGATACAGTATTTAAAGTGGAAATTGACTAGATACTCTACCGTTTCAGCTCCACCATGGTTGAAAATATTACTTCTATCCTTTTATATTTTATACCTCTAAACATTTCCAAAATCAATCTGAATTACTTAAATTAAGGATTGTCAAAAGTTTGAATTTATATAGGCAATAACAAACTAAGAGAATGGTGGATTTTTTTTTAAATATAACATTAAAAACACAATTTGATGCAATCGTTAGTAACAAATAATGTATGTATCAATATACTATTTAAGCATGGACCTTATTAATAGGTCCTTGATTCAAGAAAGTAATATAATTGAGAAAAAGTAGTCCAACCAAAGCCAGACGGCCAGTGCGGTTCCGACGGCCGTGCTAGTGATGGTGTATATAATTGGAAAACTGTATTGAACTCAGTTCGTCCCCAAATAATTGTGAAAAGAAAATCTCTGAAATGATTCGGGTGGAAATCGAATCCACGACCTCTAAATTAGTCTGGTATCATAACCACTAGACCATGAAGCTTGTGCTTGTTGCTAGAAGTAAATTAAATTCCCAAGTAGCAGTGGGTACTATAATGACACATGGCCTTACTATAACACATAAAATTCCCAAAATGAAGCTTACACACAATTCTCATAATATTGTGTTTCGGAAAATTCATCGTAAGAAGTGCTCCTTTTCAGGCCCTACCCCCATGGTCTATGTTAATATTACAACAAAAGGGACTTTCATGCGTGGAGAGTCTAGACCATCTCAGCCCCACCACTTTTGGGAGCTGAGATAAGAAAATGATTATTATGGCAACTCTAAAATGCCCGCAAATGGAACTCTCAGACAGAAATTTGAATATAGGCCTAATTTTCTTTTTCCCCATTGTTTTTGTTCATAATTTTGAAAAATTAAGGGGGTCCGGTTCGATTGGGTCCCTATTTTAATCCACCTTTGTTAACGTCTGAACGTGTTCATAATTTGGAACATTAACACCTAAACATGTTAATAATTATGAAATATTAACGCTTAAACGTGTTAATAATTTTTGACATTAACACTTAAACGTGTTCATTAAGTGTTACCCGAAACGGAATTCAAATCAACACAGAAATCAATAATTACTTCTCTAAAAACCTAAATATTAAGTTGGAAATTATTATTTTAGGCCTATCTATAAACGGGTCCCCTAATAGCACTAAGCCCCAGTGCTTTGAAGTGGCTGCATTGCTGATCCGTACACCACTGCATACACGGATCATTACTTGTATGTTGTCACATAGAATAATGATTTTTTTAATAATCGTATAATGCTTCCCTTGATGACAGTGTTCCACCCGATTCCCCGTGGCTCTTTGCATATCGCTTTTTGAAAGGTATGTGTCTAATGAAAGTCATTGATTGCGTAGTCGTGATCAAATTCAATTCAATTCAATTTTATTTAGCCATCAAAGGCTATTATCAGCCAAACACAAATGACAATGAACGAAGTACGACAATAAATATATAAATATACAATTAAGAGTAAACTTATTTCAACTCAACTATTTAAATATAGCATAGGACTACATATGAAGAGCGGTTCAATTGTCATCCGTGCGAGATTGTATGAAAGGTTAAGAGCAAAGGAAAATGAGTGGGATCGAGAATTCCTTGAATAGAGCAGAAAAGCCAAAATGTTGAAAATTGCGTAATAGATTAGGGATGATCGTAGAGGTGGAAGAAAAAAATTAAGCGATGGACAGGGGTGGAGTTAATTTAAGAGTGGAAACATAAAGTAATATTTATGACAGGAATCGAATGAAACAATACTGAATGATAGATAGAAAGTTACAGTAGACAAAGAGGTTTTACCAATTTCACAACACAGGGGTTACCAAAAGTAGAGTAACAGTCCAGTTGCTCTCCTAGCCTATTGAAAAACATAAACATAATAATAAAAAATTAAACTATAAACAAGAAGATTCCAACGCGTTGTTGAGTTTTTGTTGTCCTTCCAAGCGCTCTGTGTTACATCCATCCTTTCTGTTATTTTTGTGATTTCTTCAACTTCAAAATTATAAATCAATATGGGAAAATATTCTCTTGTATAAATTGATAGTAACAGTAAGAGTAACTGTAACAGAAGTTGCACGAGGGACAAGTTCATTTATCTTTATATTGGAGAGATGTAGACATTTAATCAGAACTTTAATTAAGATCCCTTATTTGAACAAGTAAAAGTACCGTACAACTTTTACTATTGCATATATTTTACCTCAACCTGATGAGTCGTTGATGCGTCAAATACATGCTGCGGCGTGCCTACTCCTCCGGTAGTCAGGCCCTCGACAGCTATGTCTCTCTTACAAAAATTATTCCCAGTGGCACCGGCTAGGAAGCGTTTTTGACTTAGAAACCAGAGGCTTTTGACATGGAAGGTTAGCTCTACAAAAACAGTCAAAGCCCTGCGAGTAACGCCGAAAGGTCTATATTCTCCGCTTCCAGTCTATCCTAAATGTTAAACTGATATTCAGGGGCCCTCTGAAATAAATGACAGGCCTATAAGATGCTTCATCTGTGAAGTCTCATAACGAGTCTTAGGGAGTGGAGATGTGCTGTTCCTGGAATAGAAGGCAAACATCCTAACAACTAAGCTAAATCTCCACTACTCTTTGTTTTTTTTTTTGTTTTTTTTTTTTCTATCCTTGGATTGAATTGGATTTATTCTGTGTAAACACCAAGGATGGCACACGAAAGTCTACAAGAAGACTTATTTCCAGTAGCCTCCATCTGAAACACATGGAGAGGTAGCAATGGGAGTTGAACCGGGGACTAGAGATCTCCATGGTCCAGCGCACACACAGTAGCTACCACCAAATTGTCTGACTGAGATAAGCAGCTGCTCTAATACAGTGTTTTAATTTTGAATATTACTTATTGTTTATCTGTTATTTCTTTTTATATTTTTATAGTTTTTAGAATTTTATAATAATGAAGATTTATTCAAAATATAAATTATTTGCATGATGAAATTTTAATAAGAATAAGTTTTAGTCTCGTCTGTGTGTTAAATAATAATATAAGCACAATGCAATAACATCTCTTAAGCTATAGATTATAATGATGTATGCTCTTTTATTTGCCTAAACATACTGTCACTGTAATGATCTTTTGTCATTTAATGTGTTGTGTATTACGTTATTCTTTAGAAATACGTTGTCCAGCATATAGTGATGAAAACATTAACTGGGAGTCGGTACTACCTGGAAAATATGGCAAGCCATGCCCGGATAAAATCTTCAGCAATTTTCCAGAATCAGGTTTGTCTCTTAAAATATTACCGTAATTCATGATGTGATCGTCATCAACATCATCATGTCATCACCTCAACCACCACCACCACTACCACCACCATCATCATCATCATCATCATCATCATCATCATCATCATCATCAGATGTACGCCGTTGGTCCCGTGTGAAAAATTACTTATGCACGTTAAAGAACGCAGTACACTATTCGGGAAAGAGTAGGGTATTGTCTTCCGGTGTACTGCCTAATTACCACCAGAAGGACCCCATTATTGGAAATAAGCTTTACTCTGACTTTCAGGGGTTATCCTTGGTGTTGACACCAAATAAATCCACAAATCTAATGCACAGTGGCCGTACTGTTTCTGTAACTAGCACGATTAATGCCATTGTTACTCTTACTATTAAGATTACTTTTAACATTTTATGTATGCGCATTGTACTCAAATACTGTCATGAACATTGAAGAGAATAGTGCTATGTAATTAATTGCTATCTAGTAGGATTCAAACTTGTGTTGCCATGTTAAAAACAAACACTACACTAAACCACTCCCACAAAGATCAACATTATTATGAATATAATAAATAAGATTTGTATAGTACTAATATCTATTTCAAATGAGCTTGAGAAAATATAGAGGGGAAAAAGAGAAATTCGGAAAACTAAGCCAGTAAATATCCAGAAGCTAACCGGAAGCAGAGAAAAATTGCCGGGATTTCCTAAGATACTTAAATAACATTGTGTCTGTGTGGAAAGTTCAATATATCAATTTCAAGAAAACGTATTTGGGTGATTTTATTTGGCTACATTGCCATCATCATTATTTAATTAAAATTTTATATGGTAGGTCTACATTTATAATGAAATTAAAAGTTTCTACGAGTGACAAAAAATGTGGTTTTGTTATTGTGACTCTAATATAACATTTGCGCTTAAATAACATTATTTAAATATGTGGGCCTGCGTACATAGTAACCTATTACAGTATTGCATTTATTTGTAGATTTTGTCTTCTAGAGGCTTTAGATTCCTGTACATCCCCGGACCTCCCATGGGTCCCACTAAACATAACTCCTTGCATTCATTCACTATTCGAATTGTAGCTAGCAAATAAAACAAAATGTAAATGTCTTCTTATAATTAGATAAAATACTTACTGTTAATATAGGTTTATAAAATACATTTCCTTGTGGTTATTTAATTGGTATTTTTAATGATAATCCTTAATGTGATCAGACCTAACGGACTTGTTTTAATTTGATATTCCAGGGGGATACGTAAATAATCTGGCTAAATTAGAATAGTTTCTATTCATCTAGTACAGATCGATTTATACAGAGTTCTTTTACACATTATGTGCCACGAGATTTTCCCAATTGGCATATTTGTATTGAAGATGATATATGGAGGTGCAGATGTTGCTAGTCTATCACAATTAAGTGACCTACTCCTTGCTACATCGATACATATCTATTTATGTTATTACATGTTCACTTTACTTAACAGGCCTGTTGGCATTTAGTTGGTTAATGTATTGATGTATTGAGACATATATTCATTTAGAATAGAAAGTCATAGAGTTAACCGAAAATTAGTAAATAATTGATAACATTTTGGAAATTTTGTATTGGATTACTGGATAACAAAATTTGTATTTGTATAATATTTCTGATATTGTAGGAAATTAATAATAATAATAATAATAGGCCTAATAATAATTTTATAAATATTGATTAAACCTTTCTGAACCATTATACAATATCAATGATCAATGATCACCACCAGCAAAATACAATTAAACGTATGAAAGTAACTAGTCATCTTCTGTTACGTTTCATTACCACTATTATTTATTGTAATTACATCCATTTATTATATGTTATTTTATTGAATTATCTGCCTTTTTCCAATATCGTTGTCATGTCAACACACACTGGACATTGTGAGTATCTCTTTTGAGATTCAGTTTGCTATTTTTAATACACAATATGCTGGTGGTATAAATATAAGTCTGTGACGTTAATAAGGAAGCAGAGCCGTACTGTATACAAAACCAGTGAAGGATCCGGGAATTTGTAACAGAGAGGGCCCAGGGATGGGCTTACACAGATATAGGTAGACTACATCAGCCTAACCATGGGTTGGGCTGAGGTAAGCTAATTAATGGGACCTCTAGATTGCTGGAAATGGCACTCACAGACTTGAATTTGAATATAATTTTATTTTTTTTCGCCACTTTTAAAAATAATCTTGGAAAATTTAGCCATCTCCCCTTTGAATCGGCCACTGAAAACACTGTTTTATTGGGCCTCTTTGATCTACTTTAAGTTACGATGTTTTTTTATCCCCTCCATTTATTTTTAGTGTTGAGTAAGAATTACTTATGTAGTTTTGAACCCCATGGGAAACGCGGATGTGATTGCAGTGAACGAACGCTAATTCAATTGTACCCTGCGATTGCATTGGAAGAATCGAGGGTCTTCAACTTAACACAACTGATTCGGTCATGAAAAAATACCATAGATGATTGAACACCTACATTTAATATAATGATGATACCTTAAATATATTTCTGTTCTCTTATCAAATGCGAGCTTATGTAGACATAAATGGTAAAGCATTCAAAACTTCTTGATATAAGTATTATTATAAGTCAATCGTGACGTCATCACTGTAGCTCCAAATATTATTTTCCTATCCCCAACCGTGCATTTTTTTTCATTATTTCACGGTTTTCTTGATCTTTTTTAGGTTGGTCTGCAAAAGGCTAAGGCCAACAACATGTAAAATAGTTATTATTATTTGGTAAATCATAAAACTGTTTATTATACAGTATGTCAGCTATGCATTCAGGTAGTGGAACAGCTTTAATTCTTCCATGCCCGTATCATCTGTCATCTTAGACCCAGGTAAATCTAGCCGTATTAAAAACAAGTACTATTTCTGAAAACAGTCATTGCAGCATCAAGAGCGCCTTAGATGAGTTGACAGATGATTAGGTGCGGTAAAGTCGCTGGTTGGAATCCTTCACCGGTCCATCTTACTTTTTCTCCGCATCTTTACACTTTTAAGATTTGTTAACCTACAGACACCTTGAGATTCTCAGTGGTGGGTCTAATGTGGGATCCGTATCGGTATCATCTGCATCCCGTTACCTCTTTGAAATTACCTACATATCCGTAACTCATCTGTACCCTTACATAGTGTGTTATTGGCATCTAGATCATCTGTACTCTTGAGAATCTGTGTTTTTTACCTATAGGCCTATATTATTTATACCCCTTTGGAATCTCGATAGTATGTTATTATGTTATCCTTGGGCGTACGTGTATGACCTGTTACTACACTCGTATACTACTTCAAAATCACATAGGCCTATCAGTACCTGTATCATTGTACCCCATTAGACCCCTGTGTTATCTAGGTGCCGATTGATCCATATGAACATACAGATATGTGTGTGTGTGTGTGTGCGTGATATAATGAATACAAATCGTTACTTCTTCAGATCCCTATCAACACCCAAATGAAGAAATTTAAATAGATTTTTTAAAATTATAGGTTTCAGAAATCCATTAAATAAGGCCCATAAGCTGCTTCTTTGCTTTGTATTTACCATTTACCTTTTTAATAATTATTTGTCTCAATGTATTTATTTTTTGTTTCAGTCAAAGCGTATCGAATTTGCTTGGACACGGGAGAATGGTGGGGATCAGGTAACGACAGTTCTGAGAGTTCCATCAATGGAATAACCGACTACACTGCTTGTATTAATTATTTTGAGGAAAGAATGAGACAAATGGTATGAATTAGTTACAATTTCTATATCCACATAAATTAAATAATGAATGTGCAAAACTATTATTTTCAACCATTCCATGATAAAGTAAGAATATTTTGTAATTATCATACTATTAATGGTTTCATCGTCTAATAATAGACTTTCCGCCGTTGATAACTAATAATAATATGTTTGTTTGTCATCCATATTGTCTTCAAGCTGATGAGTGCCAGCTTCAGTAAATATGGCAAATCATCTTAATCCATCTTGTTATCTTTTAAGCTGAAGCACTACCATATTGTGAACACTCTTCAGAAAGTTGGTTGGTCACTCTCGTTGACTGCACTAATTCTAGGAATTATCATATTTGTTTATTTCAAGTAAGTAAAACATATCATGAATCTACAAGACAACTTAATCTAAAGCATCAATAAAACAGTAGCCTAATTGACTCGAGTTGGATGAAGTGTCTGTGAGCTGACTATATTCGGTTTTATTCTATCCCTCATATGAATTGTTATAAGTTCGAATTGCATGCGACTAATTTACTTTTACAAGTAGGTTATGTATAACCATTCGTATAACTATATACATATAAGTATATAGTCGTATAAATAAACATATTATATATATATATATATAATATTCAAATATAATATATAATATATAGGCCTGTATAGTATTCCAATTAAGTTTGCTACTTGGCACCAACAACATAATACAACAAATATATAAATAATCACTGTTATTATTTATATATATATATATATATATATATATATATATATTAACTTCATATTTTTCAACTTGAGTTCATGTTGATAGTCCTGCAAAATGGACGAAATATTCGTGCCTAATGAAATTATATTTCTATAATAACTCATTAGCTCATGTTACAATACATTGAATGTATTTGAACCATGAAAAAATAAACGTTTCAACAGTCACTCTAATCTAGTTTTTTTTGCATTTACATTTAAAATCAATCAAGAGTTTTTTCTTTTCCTCCTCTTCGAATTGCACTTTTGTGCAAGTAGTTTTGTGACTACACTATTGTGAGTGGAAATACAGCTAGGCATACCGTATAATTTAGGATCAAACAGAGAAATGAAGCACAAATAAAACATTAGTTAGCAATTTTATTTCTTAACAGTAATTTACTTATTTTATAATTATTATGATTTCATTGGCGAGATTGAGTGAATTTTACATTGGAGTTAAAATCACAAATGTGAAGTGATCAAAATACTGAACAAAAAGAAGACCATGAAAAGCTCACCCTACCAAACTTACGATAAAAACCTGAATTTAGTTGACGTGACAAAATACCTTGGACTACCAATAATACATAGACCATTAAATTGGAAATCACACATCTGCCAATAGCATACTCGGGCTCTTGCGTCGCAATCTTAGAAACTGCCCCATAAAAATAAAAGAACTAGGCCTACAGTACGGTAGCATACAAACATGTTCGCCCAACCGTTGTGTATTCCTCTTCATTATGGGAACTTGTACATTGTTTTCCCAATAAATTGAAACTTTGATGTGTTATAATAATGAATTATGTCAATCTGGCTTTGTTTTTGTTTCTCTTTATCATGATCATCACTTCTACCGCTATATATGGTATGGAACAACGTGCTTCATGTACAATGATACATCTTATATACATAAATCAGAAGGCAAAAAATCTAAAATGTAAACATAAATAGTCATAGGTCTACTGTATATATATATATATATATATATATATATATATATATTTGCATCATTTATTTATTTATTTATTTAACATTTCATTAAAAAGAAAAAATACAACTAAAAGCCCTCCAATGATTACCAAAAGTGTACAACACTATCGATGGATCTCCAAGGCATCACTATTTATTGTTATTATTTGTTTTGTGTTGTAATATCATTATATTATTATGCACTTTTAACACATTTGTTTCTTTTTTAGGAAACTGCGTGTGCCAAGGAACTATATACATATCAATCTGTTTATATCGTTTGTACTACTTCACGTAAGCGTTCTAATTACGGAAGAAATCATGTTCACGACGGAGACAAAGGTAGTGAGTTACGTTTCATATCATTGTTCTAAATAGATGATAATTAGATACTTCATTGGTGCTTCAAGGTAGTTCATTGTTAATTTAATGATTAAGCATAGAATAAATGTTATGTTAAATAAGTCTTGGTTACTAACTCTTAGTAAATGTTGGTACATTAGTATGTATTCGAGCAAGTTTAATAATTAATTCAAAACTCTTATTAGACCAAAAATTATAACAAATATTAATTGACATAAATAAATTAAGTTATGACGAATTAATAGTCAGGAGACTCTCATTAAGCCTAAAATAAGCCGCTATTATAAGAGCCACCGCACAGATAAATAAATGTATTGATTACTCATGCTATTTTAAATGTCATTAAAAATTATAAAACGCATTTCCAGTATATTAAAATAATAATAATAATAATAATAATAATTTTAATAATAATAACATAGAATATGTAATGATAATAACCATTACTAATTATCATTACATACATAACAGTTATCAATATAACAATATTCAATGTATTCTCCAATGAATAATATTTTAATATAATTAGCAAAATCTGTAATTTTTGATTAAAATTGTAATTATTTACTGCAGGTCCATTTCTCAATAGTTGATTCAGTTCCTCCTTTGATCTTTTTTGTATTACATCTTTTCATGTAAAACACAGTCATACACATCTTCCTTTTCTTTATATTGGTATTTTTTATTCCATTCTTTCTTCAGTAACTTCCATTATTCTAGCGATTGTTTGAGTTCAGTTCTTTCCTTTATGACTCTGCATGGTATTTAATCCGAGATGCTAAACTTTCACCTTTACATTACATACTGGGATATTCTTAACCTAATTTATTATTAAATTTAAAATGTGCGGACTACACAAGAGATTTGGTTACTTAGTCAAGTGCGTCAAGTTCAGTAAATTAATTTATCAAAATCTTTTAATGTAATTTTCAAGGTTTCATCCACATACCGGTTTACACTTATTACCGTAAAATGTTATATAGGCCTACCATCTACAAACCGGTCCATATTAATTGTTACCGCACCATCTACAGACCATCCACAGATGAGTCCACGTTTGTTACCGTAACATTTACAGACCATCAACAGATGAGTCCACATTTGCTACGGCAACATTTAAGACCATCAACAGACCAGTCCACATTTGTTACCGTACAATTTAAAAGACCATCCTCACACCAGTTCACATTTGTTACAGTAACATATACAGACCATCCACAGATGGGTCCACATTTTTTACCGTACCATTTACAGACCATCAACGTACCAGTCCACATTTGTTACCGTAACATTTACAGACCATCAACAGATAGGTCCACATTTGCTACGGCAACATTTAAAGACCATCAACAGACCAGTCCACATTTGTTGCCGTACAATTTAAAAGACCATCCACAGACCAGTTCACATTTGTTACCACACCATTTACAGACCATCCACAGATGGTTCCACATTTGTTACCGTACCATATACAGACCATCAACGTACCAGTCCACATTTGTTACCGTAATATTTACAGACCACCCTCAGACCAGTCCACATTTATTACCGTTACATTTACAGACCATCAACAGATGGGTCCACAATTGCTACGACAACATTAACATACCATCAACAGACCCTTCCACATTTGTTACTGTACAATTTAAAAGACCATCCACAGACCAGTTCACATTTGTTACAGTAACATTTACAGACCATTTACAGATCGGTCCACTTTGTTACCGTACCATCATATAGACCAGCTCAATTTGGTTATTAATAATTTCCATTATTTTCTTCTTATTTTCATCGAACCAATGTAAAATCATATTGGTACTATCAAACTAGATTCCGAGAGTAGACCTGCTCTTTGAGGTGAATTCTTGTTCACAGAATTTGAAACATAAATAGTCCTACCTTCTTTTTACATAAATTTGCTGGCGATCTAGATTTCACCAATAGCAATGATATAAAACGGCTAGAGACATTCCATAATTATATTATGTGCCTCATGCTTGGCAAAATTTTTAAATTTAAAACAGAATCACACAACTTGGAAAACTTACAAAATTAAAACCTTTAAATAATGTAACAGAAAGCTAAAACTTTTAGGTCAAATAGAGAGATCAGATAAAGGTCTAAAAGTATACTCGAGGAATTGATACCAGGAACCGGAACCAAGTGTCGACCGAAACGACGTTTGACAGATGACATTACGATTTGGACGGGAACTAAAAATTAGGAGCAAATAAATAACATGGTCAAATATAGAGCAGTATCCTAAAAGAAGGCATGACAGAGGAAGCTAATTAACGGCCTTCTATGTAGCAAAATGTTCCCTTTTATTACTTCTTTCCCCGACAAGCGTTTAAAAATAAGTTTTATCTCCTATTCTAAAATCAAAATCATTAGTATTATTATAGGTCTAGCTGTCGTCAGGGTTGGTACAAGTTGATGGGGCGAAGAGTCTCTGAGTCTCTGTGAATTAAGTGGGAAAATAGAACATGAATAAGAGAAGAACTACTTTGTAGACTGTATTAAAGACAACAAGATATAAGCCAACTTTTTAGAAGCTTAATAATAGAGTTATGAAAACAAGCAGAGATGTGACATCTCTGTATTATACTTGAACCAAACCTAGACGGGTGTGGAGGGGTGAAGCTTTTATGATTCGAGACACCTCAAAAATCCCTTGAGAAGCAACCATCATTTCGAAACCTATGCCTAAGTAACATTAAAATAGCACATATAATATCACATTTTCTAAAAACCTGTAATAATCTATTGAGGTTTACTCAAGGGTCTCTAATAAAGTATTTTTGCCGAGAGGCTTGTCGCATATCATAAATCAGTTTCATATATCTACAAAAACAACGTGTATTACAAAGTAACATCGCTTCTTGGTATTTAAATTACTCAATTCTCACAAGTATTGTAAAGAAAAATTAGAAAATTGTTTCCCTTTTTCGGGGGTTTAGTTTAGCTGCTTAGTGTTATCATTGTACGCATCCGGGCACATTGTGATTTACCTTAACCACATCATCTCTTTTTTCTCGACAGGTAGGCCTACTCACGTTGTGTTTCTTTATTTCTCTATTATTTGTAAATAATTATCAATAATATTGATACAGCCCATCGCAAACAGACAAAATTACTCGTCGAGTGACATTTTCCTGGGGTTAATAATTAATTCATAATTATTATTTTTTACTTGTAGCAGTAATGTATTATCATTATTATTGGCCTCCTTGCCTTTATAAAATATTTTTTAAACATCAGGACCACTATATTTACAGCTACCTCCATGTGCATTGTTCAGTTCTATAGGAAATTCAGAGAGTGTTCGATTTTTAAATAAGGACAGTACCGTTTCCCAAACCACTATTTTAAATCCATATATCCCTAACTGAGATGTTACTCCATAGATGCTACTGTTACAGTTTCAGATACAACAGTTACAGTTTTACCGATTACTTCTTGTAGGCATATTTGGAATTTGGCAATAAAAGTGAATGAAAGAGTTAGAGTTAGCGTACAGTTGTTGTTGTTATTGTTGTTGCAGTAGCCAATGCAATGATGATGATGATAGTTATGATGATGATAATGGTGATGATGATAATTATGGCATATTACAAAACTGAAAACAATTTCAGTTTATGATAATATTTTGCCATTGCGCCATTTCTCTACATCTATTTAATGTAATTAAATTATAAATTTACAATTATTATTAGATCTAATGATCGATCTTTTCCCCATAGTGTATGTAATTTGATATGAATGGGATATGAATGAGTTTCAGCAATGTGGCAGTGAACTTTAGAACAAGCATCATCATTATCATCATCATCATCATCATCATCATTTGAAGGATATGCCAATAAGTGAACTTAATCACTTGTCCTACGTGGCATATCCATTTAACAACAGGAGACTTAATGGACCAGTACACCGGGGTAACCCCCTACTCTTTTCGAAGGATGTACCGGGTTCTTTAAAGTGCACACGAGCCAAATGTGTACACTGGGCCTACGGTTTAAAGTCCTTATCCGAGAAGACTTGTTCCACCACCGGAACCATAGGCGAGTAAGCCGTTCGAACCAGCGACGATATTATAGCTGAAGGTTACGGTACCCGCTCGACCAATCATTATCATCATCATCATCATCATTATTATTATTATTATTATTATTATTATTATCATAATAATTATGCTACTATTATATATATATATATATATATATATATAAGAGGTGTATAAGTATATATATATATATATATATGTGTGTGTGTGTGTGTGTGTGTGTGTATTATAATAAATTGGCCTATGCATGTATACATATTGCGACAATATATCGTGTTAGTTGATATATATTACCGTACGTTATTTGGATTAATTTCCTGTATTTCTTTAATATTTATATAATTTGACAATTGCCGGCGGTTTATTCAACATAGTTCTCCAGTTTCCGATCACCCATGGCTACAGTGACAAACCAATATATTCCAAAATGTGTTCTATAATGAGCGAGAGTCTGTCACAATGCATGCAACTACACACAAAAAAATCTTAAATTTTGTCGTATCTATAATCTAAAATCAATAGTCAACAAATTAACTTATATTTTTCGTTACAGCCTGTGCATTGTAGAGTTGTGTCAACTATAAGCCACTTTGCCATCCTTGCTAACTACCACTGGCTCCTTATGGAGGGTGTTTACCTCTATTCGTTACTTTCCGTCGCAGTTTTATCTGAAAGATCAAGGCTTGAACTGTATATTGGAATTGGATGGGGTGAGTACAATAAATGGTTCTGATCACTCGATTTTAATGCAAGTTTGTCTCTCGAATTTGAAAATGATGTTACAGTAGAACCCCTATTTAGGGGACACCTTTGAGGCCAAAAAGAGGGTGTCACCAAAAACGTGAAATTGTCCCCTTAATAGGGGTTTTTGGCATGTTTTCATATAACGATGACATACAATTCTTCATAATGTTATTTTAATTGACATAATTAGTGACAGTAGAATTTATAACTAACTTACAGCAGTAATTTTCAAGGCGAATACAATTCAATTATAATATGAAATCAGCAGAAATGTAATTAAAACAACATTAGTTTTATATGTTCCCAATATTATTTCATGATGCAATGTTAATGAATGAATTAGAATCTTATAAAAGTGCACGAAAAACGAAGAAAAAGAAATCCCAATGGTTAAGGGTCAAAATTGACAAGATTGGTTTATATGAAACAAACGCATGAGGTATGCCTTACGCCTTACCGATATTCACTCTAAGGATTTAGCCTACCTACAGCCTACAATAACTTTAAAACAATAGAATAATTTCATTAAAAAGGATAAGATATTCATACATATACCAGAATAATTAAAATAAAAACCAATCAAAAATTGAACAAATTCTCAAAATACAAAATTCAATCAAATCAATAAGAGAACAGAACAGAACACCACTTAAACAGATACAAGCAAAGTAACAAACCATTAAAAAAAACATCCAAAAAGTAAGTGTCCCCTTAATAGGGGTTATTTGACCATTTGGCACACTCAGAAGGTGTCCTCGTCATCTTAATAGGGATGTCCCTTCTAGGGGTTGGCCGCAGTGCTAAAAGATAAATCGCCCCTCGTTTCACGGAAAGGAGTCCCCTTAATAGAGGTGTCCCCTGTATAGGGGTGTCCCAAAGGAGGGGTTATACTGTATATAGTATAATATATATGTTATGTGGTATACGATGGTTGTCGTAATTATTATTATATTTTTTATTTTATGTTTGCATTAGCTAATGTATACTCTTAAGTTAATATGTTGAAGAAAATGAACGTCGCGATTAGCTTAGATAAAAATAACAGTATAACGACTTAAAGAAGATACAGTAGGTTGCATGTTGCATGTTATATCGCTCAGTTTATGTAGTTACGTGATGTCAGAAGTGCAGTTTAGTTTAGACCATGTTCTATGTTTTCAAAGCATGCTTTATAGATTTGGGTTTGATAGCAGTTTCATTATCGTTTTTTGTAACATAAAAATACTTAGAAACCACATCTCTCCATCATTTTTCCTGGAAAACGTTTTTGTTTGCTTTAATAAATGTACACACATGCTTCTCGCGAGACAGATATCGAAGTTTCCCTTTTGGTGTTCCATATACAACTGCAAAAAAACGTCACTGCTAGCGAATGTGGAAGTATACGTACACATGTGGTCGAAAAGCTACCCGTCCGGTGAAAAACGACGGTAAAAGTCATTATTTTTCCCTCAATTAATCTGAAGTATTAAATGATATTGATTTCATAAGATGGAGACTTTAATGATCTATGTTCTTCCAGATTTTCAGACCGGCAGGTTTCGAATCCCAGACGTTTAGTGACGACCTTTTTTTACATTATGTCTACACGCTTTGAAATAAGCGTAATTATATAGATTAACCACATGGAAAAAAATGTTCAACACAACTGCAATCGTATTATAACAATAGCCTTACGAAGACATGTATTATTACAATTTGTATTAAATTGTATTTACTGTAAAACTGTTTGTTTGAACAGATCTCATAATATTCTGGTTGCTATACAATATGCTGTCCTTATCGATAGCAACACATTGGTCTATCGTCTGTTATCACATAGACTGATGGTGTAATATGTTATATTGTTTGTCTTGATTTATCTCTGTTCGTTTAATAAATAATTGTATGGCTTGAATGATGACGTAATATTAACATTATTTTCTTTATGCATCTTAATAATAGGTCCATGCTCAATCTAATAATCCTTCCTGAGTATAAAGTGACTATTGAAATATCCTGCTCCAAATAAATATATAAATGTGTGTGGGTGGGTCGGTTGCTAGGTGATAAATACTGTAGATGGATGACGGCCGGAAAGATGATGGAGGGGCGGAAGAATAAATGAATTAAAGAATATGGATGGATAAATGGATTTATGGATGAATGTATTTATAGATGAATGAGTGGATGGATGGGTGGATAGATGAATGGATACATGAACGATTAAATTAATAAATTGCCTAAATTTTGCTTAAATTTATTATATGGTTTTATTGATAAGGGTTTTTTGGTAATGTTGACAAAATTGACTTTAAAAAAAATTATTATGAATGGTGTATTATCATGTATTATTAGAAATATTTCTCTATATTTTTTCTTTTTCTAGGAGGTCCACTTGTTGTCATCATAGCATGGGTACTTGCACATCGAAAGAAATTATGAACCCGTGCCGAAAACCCAATATGAAAATATTGATTATTTACGCCACTGTACAGTACGGTACATAAGCATGAATCTGTCTCTTATACACATCTTTATTTTTTGAAGAATAATTTTATTCTTACATGTATCGTAGGTGCTGGATGAGCATAACTGAATTTAAAACCTATTGGATACTTGATGTGCCGATAATGTTTACAATTGTGGTAAGAACAGAAAAATATCTTTTCAATTTGCTGTCCTTGAATAATAATGACTGATATTAATTGATTGATTGATTGATTGACTGGAGAGGTTGATTAAGTTTTTGATTAGTTGTTTGTTGATTAATTGATTGGTCGATTTTTTGAGTGAGTGATTGATTGACTGATTGGTAGATTATCTAATATTTGATTGATGATTAAATAAATTATTTATTAATTGATTGATCGATTAATTGATTAATTGACCTACCGGACGGCCGATCGAATGATCAGTTGATTTTTTTTATCAGTTTAAAATAGCACGTTATAAAATGTTATTATATTAATTATAATAATTTACTTTTTATTATTGATTGATTAATTACAAAACTTTTTCTGCAAATAATTTGTCTCCTCCTAGCTAAACACGATACTATTCCTTCTGATTCTTTGTGTAATACGTGACAAGCTAAAAACATCCACAACGTCTGAAACAAAGAAGGTTATGTAAGTAATTAATAAGTGCTATATAAACTCATTACTTTAGGCCATAATAAATATTGCCTCATTATTAATTTCTATCATCAAAGAATTTCATCTGGTCGTATGCAAGTTTTTTTTTATTTTGGTCTAAAAAAATATATTATTTTGGTCTAATTTATAGAAATTTACATCTATATTAATTTCTATATTTTCCATCATTGGTAACTCATTTACCAATGTTTCTGATGTGTGTTAACATATTTTCTTCATTTTTTTTGTCGTTGTCTTTTCGTGTATAACCTAATATCACTCCAGTTCGAGTCTTTATGCATATACAGTATTTCATAGAACATACCGTAGCATTTCAGTATATTTGTGTTTTGTTTTATTCTTACGGTGAATCAATAGAAAACTTGCAAGATCAACAATGGTACTGATTCCACTGTTTGGACTTTACCACGTTATATTCTTGGTGATCCGTGAAGATATGGGCAACAATCTGGAAATGGTCAAGATTTATTTTGAATTACTGACAGGATCCGTACAGGTCAGTTATATTACAATTCTACCACGAAAGTATGTCAATAATATGTGATGCATTAGTATTTTCATTAAGTATTAATACAACCGAGTTCCAATGCAGTACAACACCGTAACGTCTTATCGTAATTAGCTACGAATTGCGAGGAGTTAATGACACGTTCGCCTTATTATATGAGTGGATAAAGCTGACTGCAAGCTAGCGATTTGTCTTTAGGTATTTAATTCAATGATAATACCAATGTTGCTTGTCGACTGATTCCCGAGAAGCCTATAAGCGTCCAAATACACACTCGAAACAAAATATGCAAAAGTCATATTTTAGATGAATACGACGAATGCGAATTAAATTCTTGTTAGACATTTTATTCAATCAAGTTAGCAGCTTTACCACTGGTGTCATTGTGTGTACAACGAATATTTACAATGTGTTGAAACCAGTTGCTGCCAGAAGATGAGATCATTAATTTTTGCTTTTTTTGCTTTATGTTGATCATGTTTTGTATTGATTGTTCTTTTTAGTTACAATAAAATAAATATATTTATTTCAGGGTTTACTGGTTGCTGTACTCTATTGTTTTATGAACGGTGAGGTGAGACAAGAAATCGGTCGAAAATGGCGCCTTCATAAATTGAATCGCGCACTCTCCACTCATAGAAGCTTAAGGGATGTAAATTCACGAGTTTCTTATTCAAATCATGGAGGAACAAGAAACGAATCAGTAAGTGAACCTGTGCGAAATCATTCCAATAACAATGCGTTATCTCTACGCACCAAACTCTTGAATTTTCGGATAAGCGCCCTCACGTTATCTCGCAATTCACCCGGAGAAGCATCATTTGAAATTAAAGGTAAAATGCGTTGGAATGATGATACTAATGTAGATGATATGAACGAGAATGAAACAAGAATCGTTAGCTTAGCAGACGACTATGGACACAACAGTGACGATGGCGAAGTAATGACAGCATTATGTGAACAAACAAATGCTAAGACGACACAGAACATCGACATCGAAGCTGACGAAACATTTCAACTGCATACTGATTACGCTAATGGAGAAACTATCGTGTAAAAAAAAATATATATATATTCATATCTATGTGTATATATGTATAAAAAGAAAGAGACTTACACTATATAGGTCGAATTGTAATAGTTTTATCAACATTGTGTCAAAAACGTGTCTGGAGAGGTAACAGTGTATACTTAAGCGGTTGGTGCCGCGACTGGTTCTCAACCTGATATCAGTACCATCTACGTATGTTCTCGCCACCAAGGAATATAGACTTCAGCATAGGTACCCCCACAGAACCTCCAGAGTGGAATTGAATGTGATGTTATGCTCCGCATTGGAGTACCTCTCTCCACGAGTTCGCACGTTGCCCATATTTTATAAAATCATCATCATCATTACCGAATTCTGACACGCCTATAATCAATTTTTTTTGTAAGTACCAACTAACCACCTATCATTCATCATTGAGGTCTCACTCCAAATCTGACATTATCCACTTTGACAACATGTGACAAAATGCAAGTATTTAACAATCAGTACATAACAGTTGAGTAATGATAATTTCTTTAACAATTTACAAAATTGTATATTTTGGTTTATTCCATTATTAACAGTGTTTCCTATTATGTTGAGTTTGTTTTGTTAATATTCAACACAACAGACTACTGCCGAAGAGGAATCCATTGACCAGTGGCCCAGCACAAAAGTGGGAACCTCTTCAGAAGTACAATTTACAAAAGGTACATGACGTAAACAAGGGGAAAAAAGTGCTACTTTACAACTCGTGCAAAAGACAATTCAATTCAATTCAATTCAATTAACATTTATTCAATTAATTAATAAATACATCAAGTGATAAATAAAGTGGACAACATTAAAATTAATTAATTAGGATCAAAAATAGAAGCGAAGCTTGTCTCAATTTGACCCCGACAAAACAAAAAGTAAAAACTAATAATAAACGCATATCAGGTAGACCTACATTTTATATACAAATATATATATATATATACATATATACATACACACACGTACATACATACATACACATACACACACATACATACACACACATACACCCCATACGTCCATGTAAATACACACACACATATACGTACACACATACATATATGCACACACACACACACACACAAACCAACATATACACACTTATGCACACATATATATACATACAATATAAATCATCAAAGGTACATATGCAGTGTTTAGATAAGGACATGA